ACATCCCAGGGGATTTTGCTCGGTCAATACTTTGTCAGGCTCTAGGGTTACACCATCCACGCCGTCTTGCAGTGCGCTAAGGGTCCAGCTCTGTAAAGGATCACTGAGATGTATATCGCTTCCTTTCAGCCGTCAACACGTTATTAATATGCTCCACCACGGCGTTCCCGGCGTTGCCTCTCGGGTTGAATTTTACATCGATGCCTTCACATAATTGGTCTGTCTGTGGTTGTCATGAACGCACCCTAAGAAAATGGCGAGGCGAGAAAGAGCGAGGCATCGCGATAATGAAATTTGTGCACACCAACCCCGGTGAGTGGAAGGCCTTCGCCAACGCGGCCAAGTGTCTGTCGGTGACCCGGCCCGGGCTCCAACCCACAGTCCAACCTTCTTTCGCGAGATTGACGGTCCCTGGGTGCCCATACGGTCGCCGCACGTGCCTCGGAGCCGCGGTGATATTACATAAGCAAATGGTCGGAGACGGCCTGCCGGCATGACTGCGGCATGCCACCACCTCTAGTGGCCTCCTTGCCTCTACGGCCCCCTCCTCCCAATCTCCCTCGTTCCTGCTCGCTCGCTCGGACATGCGTGGATGAGAGTATAGATTTTATTTTCTTGTATGTTTTCTTTTTCGGCACCATTTGTGTCCCAGGGAAGGCCTCTCTCATCGGCCGGCCCCTGTCTCGTCCAGCGCTATCAGCGCTTTGTTTGCGGCAAGTATCGCACACTGACTTGCGATGAGTGAAGCTGGATATGTTGGTACAGTGCGATCGCTGTCGCGATGCGCCCCCTCGGGTCTGAAAATGGCTCCCCGAACAACAGAAATGTTTTCAAAGCAGAAAGGGTGTCCACGCTTGTCGGTGGACGGGTGCACCTGTGTGGAAGACCCAGAGTAGACAGGAGGCTGCTGCGAGGTCGACGGCCTCTGTGGGGAGAGGCAATGCCGCAAAAAATGTTCCCAACGCGTCAGATGGTCGGCTGGCGGCAGCGCATCCGCTCCGGTCAAATCTCATGGTGAGTTTGCGTACGTTCGACCTCTTTCTGGCCTGTCCCACACTGCGCGCGCGCAGACGCCCCGAGGGCTCGTGGCCGACCTCCATCCGTGTCGCGACTGACAGCCAACGGAGCTCTTTCTGGCCCCTCCAGTAACCCCTCCACGAACGCCAGTATCACAACCAAACTCCAAGACCAGGCCCGTCAGCAGCGAGATGTACTCAGGTCGGAGATGGCAGACGTAGGGCGAGCAAGAGCGCGCGGCGGTCGATCGGCGTCTTGGGGTGCTGCGTGTACAGCTCGAAGCACTTGACGAATATGATAAGACGCTATCGTTGTAATCTCAGGGCATACTCACTCACGGGATCCTCTTCGTGTCAGTCAAATTAGCATGTCAAGATTGACGCGCTGTCGTAAGTATCGACTTTGAGTGTTGGCTGATCTGGCTTGGCTCGCCCGGGACTCCCCCTGATCGCATCTGCGGCTTGAGAGTCTGGGGGGCTCGGTCGTCGGCCTCTTGGTGATAGAACTCTGCTTTCGCCGACGAGACCGGTGAGCTTGCGGCTTCTCTGTCCAACCTGGAATGAACATTTTGGCTAACCTCACGGCCTTTCTTGACCACGAAGACGAAAAGCGTTCCCCTTGCTTTCTGGAGCAACATAATGCCGGCAGATCTCTCGAGTGCGTGAGTTGCGCCGCGCAAGGTGAGTGCTGGAAATAATCTCCTGAATAGTAAAGTGTGATGGTGCGTCTAGGTTTTTCTTTTTTTCTTTCTTTGTTGAGTCCTTTCATTATCCGCGAGGGCCGGGGCCTATCTAGGCAGCAAGTACGACGCGTACGTAGTCCGTGGAGTAAATGATCGAGATCAAAACGGAGGCATTGGATGGGTATGTCTCACTACCTAATCCTACTTGGACAAAGTATGAATTTTTCATACAATCAGAGCCAGGTAACAGCTACTTCAACACCAGGACGTGTTTGAAGCCGGCAGCATAACACGCCAATAATCCGCCCCTTTTGCTGTCCGATCCATTTGTCGTCGAGGCCCGTTTCATCGACCAAAGTGACCTGCACGCGCGCACCCCTTACTACTTCCATTTCCAGATTGGCTCAAAACACTGGTACGTACGTCTATGGTCTAGCAGAGACGTAGTCTCCCGCGTCGTTAAGACCAAGAGTAAGTAGTGCAGTCCATCAGATGTTCAATACCGCAATCTGGCGCAGACAGCGTGCATCCTAGTACCACATAGGGAGATTAACCCATAAGTGCAGACCCCGTGGCTGCTGATGGTAATGATGAAGTCCCTTGTTGCGTTCTGCGATGTGCCGCGATAGCGGCGGTGCACACAAGGATTCAATGTCGCTTTCCAGCGTGATGAGCCGCACCGACGGGGTCTGTCAGATTTTACGTCGGACATCGAGGACCGAGACGTTTGTGTGCGAGCGCGGAGCATCCCACACGAACGGCCTGCTTCCCAAAGGCGACCGCCATGGCGCCAGCGATATTAGGCACGAGCTAATCCTTTTCCAGCGACCCAGGTCAATGTCCTGTGCAGACCAAGGCTCCCGTCTTCCGACTCGCCACGCGTCTACTCGTTGACTACCGGGTGATCATCGCGATCCCAAGGCACTCCAGTCGGCCTTTTTCGGTCGACATCTACACAGGCCCCAGGGCGGGCACCCGCCGCCCCATCCGCGTCCTCTCAAGGTGCACCGGAGGTCAGCCCTATAAACGACGCCCGCTCAAAGAAGCACTCCGTTCATTCCTCCCTCGCCGCCCTCCCGTCCAGCCATCGACGCACCGCCGAAATTTGGCCACACACTCCGCCATGGTGTTCCCGGCGTTCCCTCTCAAGCTGAACGTGTCGATCCAGGTCAACAACGTGCACACCACCACGGTGAAGAAGGCGGCGCCCGCCGCGCCCGCGCACGCAAAGGCGTCGTCGTCCGCCGCGGTACGTTCGGCGTCCCCGCCGCGATGGGGGTTCTCACCTTTGCGCTCCCAGGTCAAGAAACCGGCCGCGGTCAAGGCTGCGCCCCGCGCCAAGAACGCGGACGCGCACACACCCGTCGGTATCTTGCCCGCTCTTCCCGTCTCGCTGACATTTTGTCTACTTTATGTAGGCGAAGAAGCCGTCGGGCACGAAGCCCGCTGCCGCTAAGAGCCCGTCCAAGACGGCCCACAAGCATTGAGGGGTGGCGCAGAATCATGTGTGGAGGGTCCTGGGGGATAAAAAAGACTGGGATGTGTTGTGTGTATGTGGGCGGGACTTGGGGTGTGCCCCCTCTTGTATCTGGCGTCGAAACTGTGTCCAAGTTGCTGAGATCGGCGGGTGCTCGGCTTAGTGCTCAAGCAGTGCCACGGAGCTGAGAGAACGCGGACACCTCGACGAGTCCTGAACCCCGCGTGCGCGGCCTGAGATCACAGCGGCTTGATCGCTGCACATCATCAAACTGTGTATCCGTGTTCGAATGCAGTATGTCGATAAGGCGTACTACTCAATCCCAGACTGCCGTCGCGTCGTTTATCATCTTGAAATTCCTCCTGCTGGCTGGTTTGCTTGATGCTTCCTGTGGGCCGCGCAGTGCTCTCGACGCACTGTCGCACTACCCCACGTCTACATAGTAGAGACACCAATCCTACTCGGGAGACGCTCCGTCTCGCCGCCTCACCATTCGCATGTTCACGCTTACTGGGCCTTCCTTCGCCCCACGTCCTCAGGACGCCGGATCCGTCATCCCGCGGCACAGAGACCTGAGCCCTCAAGCGATCGTCACATTTCGTTAAAGTACACACTACGCGCCAACCTCCTCCCTGTCCGAGTATTCTCACCGCCGCCGCTCCGCTCAGAGCAGAAGCTCGTCGAGGAGCGCGCGCCTCAAGTGGCTATCCGACGCAGCGGAGTCACCTACGATCTCGCGGAGGTACCGCGCTACGAGCTCCTCGTCGCGCGCCTCGACGTCGCTCGGGTGGGGGTGGGGATGGGGGATCACCGTGCCGACCCGGAAGTGCCTCTCGTGCGCGGGGCTGACGGTGCCGACCATGGGCTGGACGTCCCGCACATAGTGGTGGCTGTTGGGTGCGTCCGCCGCC